CCTAAATCATAACGACAATCTCAGGTTGCTATTTGGAGCAATTATTGCTGAGAAAGTTAAAAGGGCCAATTCCGCAAAAAATAAAGGATATCCGTTGTTCTAGTCACAAATGTTGTAAAAAAAATCACTTATAATTCATAATCAGAGTAGATGATCTTTGACGAGAGATTAATGTTGGTTGTCAGAGAGCGGCTTACTGGAAGAAGAGTCCACGTGTTTCCTGAATTAATCAAAACAGTTACCTAACCGTTAATGGCTTTAATGACATTTCTTCTTTCAAAAAACGCCTGATTGTTTAGTATCTATCAATATCAGTGTAACGTCCCTCGCTTACTGTCATCTTCAGATAATTAAGAAACTGAAAATAGCAGATGCATGATATTCAAAGTACTCCGCCTTAAAATGATATTTGTTTGTTTGTTTGTTTGTTCTAAGTAAATAGTATTATCATAATTTATACCTGGCGAGGGTTTATTAGCCATTAACCTGAATTAAGCTAATCCCGGCGCGGATCGATGATTTCTAGTATAATGCCTGAAATAAAATTTTATTCTGTGATAGTCACTGTTTTTTGTTTTTAATGCCTTTTCTTGAATTGCCTCAGGCTTTTGGGGCTTATCCTAGTCTATTAAATTTAAAATGGAAATAAGTTGAACATGTTGAAAGAGTCTTCAAATAACAAATATATAGAAATAAAGAAAATAAATTGAACAAGTTGGCTCATCGGTGTCAGCAGTTGAATACTGCTACTTCCCCCGAATGGTATGCTAGTCTATTGCAGGTAGAATCGCATAGCTCAGAGAATTCTTGCACCCTGTTTGGTTACTTAGGCGAGATATTCAGCGTGGAATTGCGACTCTTGAAAGCGAAACACGTTGAATATTGCAACATATTCACACAGACTAGACTTAAATGAAAGAAGAATTAAAAGAATTAAAAGAAGGCTATGCGATCCATGGAAAATTCATAACCTGACTCGTGAATTCCACGTTAAATTTCACTTGAAAAACCAATATCGCACTCATCGCTTCGCGATTCATGTGATAGCGGTTTTCCGCGTGAAATTTAACGTGGAATTCCCTCATCAGGTAATGAATTTTCCTATAATACCACACCATCACTTCACCCCAATCAGTATTTTGTTGGCTTTCTCCTACAANGTTAGGTTAAGTTAAAAAGCTACGATAAAAACACGTCAACAAAAGCAATTCCGAAAGCGAAGGTAAACCTGTAATGATATAAACATTGCAGGCAAGATAATCATGTTACGATGAACTTGTATGCTGCCTTTTTAAATTAAATTTACTTATTTCTCCGTTGATAAATGACCTGGAGTTTTCTTTGATCTGGGATTCGAGATGTATTCTGGTTTCTTGGCCTTACGTTTGTCTCGCTAATACTTGTCATATCATGTATTCGGATGTTTGTTTTGGTGTCATTTAGGTGGTCAGTGATATTACAGTAGACACATCGTAAAGTATTTTGTCCTTTACTTTTTTTCTCAGCCTTTCTAAAGCAGATGCAAGGAATTGAAGAATGACAAGAAAACGCCCAATGTTCCTGTCGCTACTTTTGACAGTCATTTTGTTTACAGGTAAGGAACTGGTACCAGCTATTTTCAAAACAAAGGTATTGGTGCGTTAAAAGAGGCATCAGGTGTCAATTGGTTCTTTATAATATAAGCGACTGAAACGAAAAAGCGACATCCCAAAGAAGGGCACTAAACGAGAAAAAGTATATAACTGTTGGACGTGAATATAACAGTAGTTTATCACTCAGATACAGACTAATATGAAGAACTAATTCCAAACCCAAAAATACTTCTTCATGAATTAAAGTCCTATCTACCTTTGATAAAGAGTTACCAGCCAAAGAAATGCTCATCTGCTGAGTAAAATCACGACTTCAAAAACTACCAAAGTAGCTATTCCATTCCCCAATTTTCTGTAATAGACTACTTTCCTTTTCTTATAGACTTTCTCGTCCTTTTAAATCCATGGCCAGTTATCCATTACACTACTATTACAAATTTTGATCTTACCTATCACACCCGTTAATTTAATCCTTAAAGCTATATGTACAATATCAGTTGTAAATCCAGTTCAAGGAGCAACAGTCGAATTGTAGCTATATTCTATTTTAGCTGCTTAAAACGTACAAGTTGAAATGATTCCTTTTTGCTCTACTTGCAGACCTTATTTGTGGCAGACCGTCAAAAGGTATAAAAACGTTTTGCCGTACAATAGGAACCAGAATTTCCATGTTTTAAGTAATTAAATTAATAGCTGAGGTACATGTTTTATCTAAAACCCTGCTGAGAAGTGATTAACGGACCATTATCACCAGGCGAGATTTGCTCTCCCATGTGAAAGATCCCTTTCAGGGAAGTCCGTAATAGACTACTTAGTCCATTAGAGACTTCCCCATCCACCTTCCAATTAAATCAGTGAGCAACAAACTGACATAGAGGGAGGAATTTACTGTACAGTGTAACTCTTCTGACTGAAACAATCAACATTAAAATAATCGTTTCCTGGTAGATTTACTTGATCAGATCATAGATCGGAATGTTTCAGTATAGCTGTATGTGATGGGGTTGCCAAAAAAATCTTGATGCTTCCATAGCATAAATCTCTTCTTCGAACTGTTCTTAGGCTGCTCTGTTATTAGATTGAAACAAATATAATATCACGCTGTAGTCTGCTCATCAAAGTACATTCTTTCGCATTTCTGGCTACATACAATACAGTACAAGCGCTATACCAAAAACTAATATTAATAAAATCATCCAACTAATTTGTCGTTACAGTTTATTTTTCTTCATATAGGCAACTCAATAACAGGTCCAAGCCGTTACCCTTTCCATTCGTTTTTACTTTCCTGATACTCCTTTTTTTATTCTATCTTAACTAAATTTTGTAGGTTGTGCTAATCAAGTTCGCAGCCTGTCCAGTAAATCTCGTCAAAAGGGCAGTGATTCTCATATCCCTCATCCCGGTGAAGCTGAGAGAGTTGTAAAGAAGTCATCTCTACAGGATGATTGTTCAGAGGATGAAGAAAGCAAAGCCCCTGCATTGAAAGACAAAAATAAAATCAAAAGCCTTCAGACAAGCATTCATAAAAACCTGCTAAGGCTCTTTCATAAACTTAAAAGCGCAAAGCCCGGCAGTGTGATACCTGATAGAAAGGAATTTACGAATTTTGCAGCGCAATCGAACCCAGACAGTAACCACCCAGGAGTGTCAACGGGCGTCCCACTTAGCAAAGTCAGAGATGGAATTAAGAATGCTACTAAGTTTAAAGACTTGAACGCTACAACAACACTCAAAGCAATCGACAAATTAGTCAGCGCAGTTCTCCCCAACACTACAGCAGGTGGAAACAATTCATTTAGCAGTGACACAGATACTGAGGGTGGGAGCGGTTCTGCAATGGAACCTGCAGATTTAAGCAAAGGTAAAACAGATCCTTATGCAGCAATTGCTGCTGGACCAGACCATCCTAAACTTCCTCCCGATCTAAAGATCTCTCCGGGTGGAGCTGAAGGAGAAGCACCTCCTGTTGTGCCAGTGGGGATGTCTGATGATAACAAGGCTGGCCCGGAAAGCGACGAGGGACCGCATCCTCAGAGTCCTGATGGTGAGAAGAGTCGACGAAATCTTTTTAACTATGTTTCCCAAGTAGCTTAACTACAAAAATACTTTTCTATTGCTAAAAAAAACTAAATGCCATGAATTTGATTGCAGTGGTGATTACGATATCCATGGAAAGCAATTCTTTGTTAGAAGAAGGAATTGCGCTGACTCTCTGTTCAACGTGCTCTTACTTATCGAAAGCAATTTAAACTATATAGTAAATATTTATTTGTTATTCACCAACGTCATTTTATATTTTTCCACAGAACCCAGTGAAGCACCAAGTCAACAAGAAGGTATATATTTCCTAGCAAATTGAGTTGTTAAGGTATTAGTCACTCTCGTTAAGACAGGAGAAGTTCTTATCAAAATTTGGGTTACTTTCTTATTTTAGGCAAAGACGACTCTGAAGAGCCAGACAACCCCATGGTCAAGCAAATGCAACAGCAAGCTATGTCAGTTATACAAGAACAGATGCAAAACCAGTTCAAGGCTGCCATGCAGGCTGCCAAGGGAATGCCAGGCATGGGAGGAATGGGAGGAATGGGAGGAATGGGAGGTATGGGAGGAATGGGAGGTATGGGAGGTATGGGTGGAATGGGGGGTATGGGTGGCATGCAAAGTATGGAAGGAGGAATGGGAGGAGGAATGGATGGCATGGGCATGGGTGGCATGGGTGGCATGGGCGGTATGGACAGTATGGGTGGAATGGGAGGTATGGGAGGAATGGCTGGCTTCGGAGGAATCGGAGACATGGGAATGGCAGGAATGTATGGCAACCGTATGGCAGGAATGGGTGAGATGGACAACTTTGCTAACAATGCCTATGAAAGGGACAACTTAAGGAGCAATGATGGATACTTGAACGATGTCAATCCTTATTTCGCAAGAGGATTTGGTGAAGAGCTAAGGGGGCCTATGGGGCTAAGGGGGCCTATGGGGCCAATGGCTCCTATGGTGGACGAATCTGCAGTTGGACGAGATAAAGTTCCATTAGGATACGAGGATCGAGAAGTTCCTTACTTCCGTCGTTTTCATAGACATCGTTACTTTGACAACGATGAGGACTTTGACAATGAGGGATTGGACGACGATGATGACCAACCATATTTAGTTCCTACCCATGAACATGCTGACTTTGAAGAACCTTTCGACGAAGGCCCGGAGAACGAAATGGATGACGGCTACGATGCGCCTTATGATAGAAAAACAAAAATAGCAAAAATCGGAAAGCTTAATAAGAAAGAAAAGATAAAACACATCAGCCATAAGACAGGCAAAGGAAGCAAAAGACAACCAACTGTGGCATCAAAGAAACATGTGACTGAGAAGCGAGGAAAAACATCAGGTAAACAACACCAAAGGAATCACTGAGAGCTTCGTATAACCTGCATGAGACAATTCTTAATTATGCCCAGAGATTGAGCGGCGTTAATACGTTCTTAATTAGATGCAAGAAAAAACACTGTACTTCGTTTGAAAACTCGTAAACAGGTTTTGGTTTGATCATACCTTCTTGGGACAACTGGACGAAAGAAGGAAACCAGGACACTGAAAATTAAGTTTTATTATTGAAACATTCAAGACCATCTTTCCTTCTTTGACGCCATGGTTGGTTTTCCTCAATAATCACTAGGGTAGTGAAACGGGTGTTAGGTTTCGAACATGAGGCTTTAAGTATCAAAAGACTACTAATACCTTATTCTCAAGGCTTGCTATTTGGCTCAAACTAAAAGCAACAGGTTCTCCCCGACACGAAACAAAAAAACGATTTTGCGATAAAAACCCTTAAGCTGAATTTTTCACTCTCTTCAACTCTATTTGTAGGAGGATCCGCATACCTTCGATAGTTCCTAGAAAATGATGTACACTGTATCTTCGGTATATTAAGCATAGTTTATCTTGGATTCGTAAAATCAAATGACTAATTATCCTACATGTAGCTACTCGAATCTGATAATTAAAGTACCTTGGTACCAGATTACGTTGTTGTTAGTCACAAAACAGCGCGGAAACGTAGCTTAAGTTTAAATAAATAAACACTAGAAACCGGCTACATCGTTGTTTTTCTCTCGGCAGGCACTTTAGAAGAGCCGTATTCTATAGGTCCGAATTATTTGGGTTTTGAGTGTCGTGCTTACATTTTTCAATGAGCCGATTTAAGGTCTCATCGTGAAGACGAGCGTCAAGATTACCTTTCTACACCCCTCTGGGGCGATCGTTGCTGGCATCCTTGTTTACATTTTGCCTCATTAGCATGGTGCAGAGAAGTGATCATTTTCGACAATTCGGATTGACTCTTACAAACAATTAAAGAGCTTAGTAATGGTGATATGTTTAATTCTTTGGGAGTAATATTGAAGGAGATATTGACCCTCGTAAATTTCGAAAATTCTGTGTGGCCCTTCAGTATTCAAGGCTTGTCATTACTTTTGGAGAAAGATCATCTAGATCATCTAATGAGGCAAATGTTGAAGGTCAAAAATTCCCTTATATCTCCGGTGGGTTAAAAATCACTGTTAGTAGTAATTTCGTGTCATTATAATCTCGCAGGTGTGAACACTGATGCAGCAACTCCTGAGATGTTTTACAATTCTGCAATGAAACAAATGCAACAGCAGGCGATGGCAGGGATTGAAAAACAGATGCAAAACCAATTTACCAGTGCTTGGAAAAACGCTCATGGAATGGGAGGAAGACCAAACATGGGAGGTGGAGGGGGAATGGGAGGAATGGGAGTAATGGGAGGAGGAATGGGCGGTATGGCTGCTATGAATGGAATGGGTGGAATGGGAGACATGAACAAGATGGGAGGGATGGGAGGGATGGGTAGAATGGGAAGTATGAACAGAATGGGAGGTATGGGTCAAATGCAAGATATGCCAGGAGGCATGGGACCAATGCAATCCATTCCTGGAGGTATGGAAAATGGTGGTCCTATGAACGACATGCTTGAAGGCTTGGGAGGTATGGGACCAATGAATGACATGCCAGAAGGCTTAGGAAATATGGGAAATATGGATTGAGCTGGTGGTATTGATGGAATGGGAGGAATGCCAAGTATGGATGGAATGAACGGAGGGATGATGGGTGGTGGACAAGGCAATGGAATGAATGGATTAGGAGGAATGCAAGGTATTGATGGATTCACCGGGATAGGTAATCCTGGTATGACAAGTATGGGTAACACACCTAATGGCTTATTCAGAAGGGAGTTTGAAACCAGAGCTAAAGGAAAATACAATCATCATTACCAGAAATTTAAAATTACAAAGTCCAAGAAAAGCGCAAAGAAGGTTAAAAATAAATCCCTTTAAATATGTTTAACTACTCAACCAGAAAGTTGTATCATTAAAGTTAGAAACCTGAAAACTTGAAATTGCTTATTGAGGATATCACAGACATTAAAATGGCATAATGAACTTTAAGGCTTTGTGAAATCCTAGTATATAGTTTTTTTTAATTGCCAGAACGTAACATCATCTACGTATGTGACAAGTTACACTACATTTGACCAGTTCCACTGTAACCAAAATATTTTATTAATAATAGAACGAATATTTCATGAAACATTGCTGTATCATGATCATAACGAGAAGACGAAATTGGCACTTTTAGTTCATGCTTGTTGGAATTGTCTTAAAACGGGTAGTAGGAGGGATGTAATGAAGAATTACTTGTCCTCGAATGTAAATCTACATTGTATGATAAATAAATTTACATTGAGAACTGATTCTTTCTCTTAATTTATTGAACGGATGAAAGCTATTGGGACTTGTTATTATGTCCGATAACTGAAACTCCTATTTTCCGCATGGGCAAGAAATGAATGAAACGCTTGCGCCATGGCTGCCTGAGAATGGAATAGTAAAACTTACATG